ATTCGTTAAGATATTGTCAATGACAGTCGAAGTATTAGCAGTTACCCTTGTGGGTTTATTTATAGTAGAATAAAACGATTGGGAATGTATATTATCCATAAAATCACGTACAGTATTGTCTGTGTCATACTGCATAATATCAATATTAAAGTCGCCCATAATATAACACTTTTTATTGTCATTGTTTACACATGTCAATATTTCATTGATGTGTTCCATAAAAGCATTAAATGAGGCACTTGGTGATTTGTACACAACTCCAATAACCACGTTGCTATTGTGGTCGTTAACAAGCTCAATAAAACATGATTCTATATCCAAATTGTTCACTGATATATCATTGCGAATCTTATACACTATATCGTCTCTAATGTAAAGTGCCACCCCACCACCTCTTTTGCTTGGTCTGTAGAATCCTTCTAGAGAAAAATTCTGAATTTGGACTAGTGGATGTTGGATGTCTTTTAACCATGTTTCAGATATTCCAATCACTGGAAATGTGTTTTCTAAAACATTTACACGGTTAAAAATACTAGTAATATTTTTAGGTAGGCTGCGTGCATTAATGTGTAGTAATTTCAGGTTTGAACATTTATTTTTGTTACATGCAATTTACAAATTGTTCTTGATCATAGTAATCACAATTAATAGTAGGAGCTTGAAAGTTTATATCAGGATCTATGCTAGTTGTCACAACAGTATCGTAGTTAATTTCATATGATCAGGTACATACAGCAATGCTTTACTCCTGCACACACGGACAACACACAGAGATGTAAACAATGATAACATGAACACGTAATAAAAGCGTGAGGCTATAAATTACACAGAAAGGTCATAAAATACTTCTCCCTTTAGACAGATTCGAGAAAGCCGCTGTGTCGCCTTCAGTCTTGGATTGTGTACGCTTATAGAGCGCAAGTCTTGTTACGAGTACGATCCAGGTGATTAGTAACTGGCATTCGGAAGTTGTATAAAGCTCTACATTGTATGTTGCATTTAAATGCTAATGTGAGTCGGAAACGCTTACGTGTTACTGTTAGGGAATCTCTATTCATGATGACAAAGGCATATTCTTCAAGTATAACCATGGTTACTGAACACCGGTAGTAAACAACATAGTATCAATCGGTTGAAATGAAATACAAAATACAGAACAAATTTTAAGGTGTAAAATAAAACATGAAGTATGAGTTAATGTGCATGAGTGTTTCGTCTACTTCCCCGTGTAGGTCTTGAATTCCCCGGTGTGCAGCTTGTATCTGATTAATGGCGGAATAGGGATGTAGGCGAATTGTACGCGCTCATCTCGTCGGATGGTCGGTAGATTGTCTTCCTGCAGCTTCCTACGGAAATCCTGGACCCTGGTTGAGACATCATCTGATATGTAGATTGTTGAACCCTGGTACTTGTTGCCTCTCAGGAGCTTCGCTGCATTTTTTAGGATGAACTGCCTGTCCCCGTAGCGGAGTAGCTTACAATGGATTGGTCTTGGTCTTCGAAGGCTTGTTGTGGCCGGAGTTGTGGCTTGATTGGCCGGTCTATGTGCTGGGGTTCGATGGGCCCGTTCAATCTCCACATCTTCGGCACCTTCCAACTTCATATGATTTGTGAGGAATTCAGACACAAATTCCTCACTAGTCTTGTCTCCCTCAGCCCCCTCCGGAACACCGTGGATGATGATGTTGTTACGCCGGCTCCTGTTCTGTAGATCTTCAATCTGGTTGGTAAGTTTATCAATGTTTTGGTAGTTGCCACCACATCTGTTGTTGATCAGCGCTACCAGATCCTTGTTTTCCTTGTTAGCGAATTCCACTGCCGTTTTCAGTTCGGAGATGGTCTTTTTGTGATCATCTACCTTTGACGTTATCTATTGGAACTTGAATCAAGAGTTTACAACCTAGATGCCATGATCTTGTCCAGCTTTTGGTGGACATCTTGTTGACAGTGGCAGCCATCTTGCTTGGTCTCAGGAGTGGATGTTTCATTGGGAGGGGACGTTGTTGTTGAAGCTGGCCACTTCGTGAAAAAAAGTGTCCAAAATGTTGCCTCTGCTGACATTCCCACGGTCCAGTGACGACGTCATCGATGTCCACTTCGTGTCCTACTTACCTGTTGGACCTATAAATGCATATTTCCTTAACTATGTAAATTAACCGCTAAAGTAAAGATTTGCTATAGTGTGCCACAGCGCCCTCCTGCGCCAGCGCCCACAATAGTCAGAGCCCCCGCCATTATCGTCCTCTTTTCTTTAGCGCTCGTGTCGGTAGGACGTGTTTTTCAATGCTCACAGTAGCATGCACGTTTTTACTGGATTTAATCGCTATTTGTTATTAATTTTCTCAAGATTTGCAGTACATTTGTTTCTCGGAAGCACTAGGTGTTTTTCTGGTTACATTTGTTTGTTTTTTAGACGAGTTTTATAAACGTTTTTATTTCGTTTTATGACCTCGTGTTTTTGCGTGTATACATTGTACATTAAAGGATACGTATTTTTTTATCCTTACAGTTTGAAGAAAATCCTACTATAGTTCTGAGACTGTTCTGGTTTTTGGGGTCTTTGATAAAATGCCTCCCAAAAATTTCGTGACTTGTGATAAATGTCACAAGATTTTGCCGAATAGCCTAGACGACTCCAACGAATTATGTCCTAAGTGTAGGCCATGTTCTAGAGCTCTTAGGTGTTCCATTTGCGAGCCATGGGGCTCCGAAATGTGGACGAAGATTGACACCTGGCTAGCGAAATCTACAGACTCGGCAAGAAGTGAAGCTTCGACCACTTCTGGAAAGAAAAAGAAGTCATCGAAGCGGGTAAGTACGGAGCCACCGCGGTCCGTTCGTGGTATTGGTTTTACCGATCCTACCGGACGCGCGACGGGGCTTTCGCGGACTGGAGCCGGGCCGATGGCCGAGGGTTCCAGTGCCGCAAGTCTTTCCCGGGGACAGGTTTCGGGCACGGAAGTGTCGCAGGCCAGTCCCCATAAGGGAAGGAAAAGGACCGGTGGTGGGCGCGATGCGCCGAAAACCACCGGCCCTGACTCGGTTCAAACCGGGGCCAGACGGAAGTCTGCGAGCTCCTGGGCCAATGAGTCGGCAAACCGAGAAAAACATCGGTCTACGTCGGCAATCCCGGCGACCGACAGCGGGATTTCCCCGGGAGCAGATTGCTCCGAAGGGGATTCCCCGGATTGTCCTCAGCCACCGGTTGAGGGCGCAAAACCGAAGAAACAAAAAACGATCGGCCCATTGCGTTTACGTTCGGCCCCGTCCGTTGGTCTGGGGAACCGAGCGGAACCGGGCCCTATCGGTTTGACGGCCGCCGCGTTTAACCTGGCACCCGGTCCTGAAAATCGTGCACCAGTGGCGCCCGGTCAAACCCGGAGCGTGCCGGTGGCACCCGGGGTTCTTTCGGACGTTCCTTCGGGAATTTATGATTTAATGGCTCGTCACCGTGGATCGGAACATCGATCACGGCCCAAGAATAAACGGCGCCGGGCCCATAAATCCCGCCGCCGCCGTTATTCTAGCTCTTCAACGAGCGACAGTGCCAGTACGTCGCCGACTTCTGGCCAGTCATCGGACCACCCACGTCATCGCAAACGCGGGCGGAGAGACAATACATCGGATTTATTGCTGAAAGGTTTTCAGGCTTTGTCGGCTCAGTTGGCGGCGTTGGCGCCACAACAACTCCCAATTTCCCCTCAAGCTGAGGCCGAAGATCGGGAATTTGACCAGGAATCAGGCGGCGCTATTTCTGTTCACCCGTCTGATTCATTGCAGGAGTTGGACTCGGACGTCAGCCGCGCTACGCGCAGAGACGCCAAGAGACCTTCACCTACTCATTCTACAGCTGTAGATACACACGAGGCAACACCTAAGGGTAACCTCGAGTCCCAGCCGGGTCCATCTTCGATGGATCGGCCGTCCGACGTGGATTCTACCGGGAGTCATCCTTATGAGACTACCGATAATAGATTTCGTGAAGTGATGTGGGATATGGTTCGTATATTAAAGGTTCCCATTCCTGAACAGTCAGAATCTTCACAAGGTACACGGCCTAGTTTTAAGAAACGCACAGGTGTACCAGAGCGGGATTCCCCGAAGTCAACCTTTCCGGAATTCCCGGTGGACAGGGTTTTTTCTAACCGTCTTAAAACAATAGCTGGTCAGAAAAAATGGCAACCCTTTGCCAAGGCAGCATGTCATCCCTTTCGGGTTCCAAAGCAGGATACCGAAGAATTTTTAACAGTTCCGGTTATCCCAGGCAAATTCCACCGTCATGCATCATTGCGGAATGCCACTCTGCGCCGTAATAATGATAATAGTTATCGGCATTTAAGAACGCTCTTATAAGTAAATTAAATCACAGTGCTTACAGTATTATTATAACCCCTGATCATTGGGCCAATTAAACATTCCAAATACCATCTCAGCTCCCTGGGGAGTATACAGCTCGATGTTGCCTGTTAGTCGCAAGCAAGCTAGTTCAATCACAGTAACCATCTCTGCCCTCACAGGTACCCATTTACTCCTGGGTGGGGAGAAGCAATGAGTGACAAAGCGCCTTGCTCAAGGGCACACGCACCATGACCCCGGCTGGACTTGAACCCACAACCTGCAGCTTTACCCACAGACCACGAATCCAGTGCCTTTAACCACAATCCACAGCACTCCACATGTAAACCTTAAACCGTATGTTTGAGTGATTTGAAGCATAAATAGCTTTTGGGACACAGCAACATTCAGTTGCAGAGTAAAGTTTACAATGTTCCCGTACTGTCTGTTTTTAAATTTTTTTTAAATTTATTTTACCTGAAAAATAAACTTAAATTGCTAATACAAAGCTTTCATTTTCGCATGAGGCATGGACTGAAAAGATTGGCCCATGTTTGGTTGTGGTGGTATGTTTGAACCCTGATGGAGAGCATGGGTGCTTTTGTTGTAAGACAAGACACCAGTAGCCTCTAAATTTGATTTTTCTTTTTGTATTTTTTTGCCAGCAGGTTTAAAGAAGATCCCTCTGAAATGCGAATTGCACCTAAGACTGATGATTTGGTGAGTTCATTTATCCCTTTCAACACATGCTACTTTGGGTTTATTACACCATGGGTCTGTTAAATGTTACAACTGTGAGACATTCAGACGGAATTTCCAAAAGTAAATGTTTCCCTTCTTCTTTTGCTTGTCCATATCTTCCCTCTTATATACTTGTTAGTTTGAAAACTAACTTGAGGCAATATTTAACAAGCTATCAATGGTTAATCTTTAAGATGTAATGTTTGTCACAAGGACAGACACTTTTCTTTCTCTAACCATAACTCAAAGCAAGATGACAAAATTCAGTAATATTTTGTTTCAGTACAATTAAGTACACTTAATGTTAATATTTAGAACACTTTCAAAGACACTTTATTCTTGCTTAAATTATGGGGAGGAAGATGCCATGAAAGTAACGTATGTCACTGAGACAGACAAGACGGTATCTTTTTAACAACTGAGTAAGGGCCCTGTAAACCCCAACTTAATTTTTTTCTAGACTGTTCAACCATATATATAACTTGAAATGAAGAAGTATTGATATCTTGTCTGAAATAACATTTGTTTCACGGACAGACGTTAATAATCATGTTGGTCACATGGATGAACATTTTGTTACCTAAATAATAGTAAAAACCATAATAATAATAACTAGAGTTTGAAGCAACAAACACACGGTGTTGGGCTAGAGGTTTATGTCTGGTTAATTAACAGAACAACAGCCTTGGTCAATGCTCTCGTCGTTATTCGTCCTGTACGCGGTAATCAATCAGCAGCATCCTAGGCCTCGCGCGCTTTGCAGTGCATGTAAAAATACAGTGCGAACAGCAACCTCATGCGACAACTATTTTTATGCGAATCAGTTGGGGACAATCGAAAGCCTTGGTTCAGTCATCGGCGAAAGCTTATGTTTTTCTTTAGAATATAGATAAGTGTAGGCGGGGCTAATGTGGAGTGTCCAATCACACCTTGGCAAATCCTGAAGACATCAAATTGTTTGCTGCTATTCGCCTTTTGCGGATGTGACAGAAACCACATTTTTTTTGTGCATTGGTGCCATGTGCAGAGACACACAACGTGCGTGTATGCATTATGTATGGTGCCACGTTTTACCGCTATGCAACTTTCCATGCAACGATCGACCAATAAGAAAACGACATTTAAGGTCAGTTTAGGCTATTAGCATAATGAGCACCACCCCCAAAACCTCACATGGACAACTGAACCAAGGCTCTCGATCGTCCTCAACTGATTTGCATAAATATAGTGGCCGCATGAGGTCGCTGTTCACGCTGTATTTTTTACATGCACTGCAAAGCGCTCGAGGATATGCCGCCGATTGATTACCGAGTCTGTCCACACCAACGGTTACAACTTATAACTTTGTGGGTGTGACATGGGAGGTGGATTTCAAAGCAGGTTTTTTGCTATTTTTTTTTTTAAAGCATTCCTATATTATCTGTGATTGCACTGATGAATAATTAGGCTGATTCACAGGATATGTAGGAAATTACTCGGCCATCTTTAAGATGAAATGAAGGATAATGTTCATAACATGGACGGACACTCTTGATTCATACTATATGTTTTTGTTATAGTAAATCTAGCAAATGTCCATTTATATTACATATTCAATGAGGAATTAGTATCATTCGACATGAAAGCAACCTGTGCAGTATTTATAAAATTATGATGCGACTTAGTACATGTTAATAACATGGACAGAAATTTGTGACACAATTTCTGTCCCTGTTATGAACATGAAGTCTTGAAGATGTGCCACCCTGTAGTTAAAAAAACCTAGAGGTTTAACCTGAGATTGGCCAGTTAGTGGGGCTGTTAAGGTCAAATATATGATACAATTGTGCACTTTGTGACTAAAGCATGAAACTTTGCATGTTGGTTCTTCATGCCATGGAGAACATTTTCAGATGTGGAGACATTTCATGTTTGACCTCTGGTGACCTTTGAGAGGTCAATGAACTTTACATACATTATTTGTACTAATTGTTCTTGAAAACACCACTTTCCTATGACCCCAGTCTATGTCATAGGTCTTCAGGCAATGGAAATAATGATCAGGTGTAAAAAAAAAAATCATACTTGACCTCCAGTGACCTTTCAGAGGTCAATAACCTATATATAAAGTATTTATAGTAATTTATAAGATTAATACTTTAAACCCCAACTTTTTCAAGATCCAATTCTAAAAGTGAGGTGTTCATGCTATGAAAAGCATTTTCATATGAAGGGCATTTCATATCTGACCTCTGGTGACCTTTAAGAGGTCAATGAACTTTGTATGCTCTATTTTAAGATATTTATAAGATTTACTATTCAAAACCCCACTTTTTTTATGACCCAAGTCTAAAAGTTGGCTGTTCATTACATGAACAGAATTTTCAGATGTGTGAACATTCATATTTGACCCCTGGTGACCTTTATGAGGTCGATAAACTTTGCATACCCTATTTGCCGCTATTTATCATATTTAATATTCCAAATGCCACCTTTTCATGACTTAAGTCTAAATAGTTCAAAACAAGTGTACTTTAAGTATTATTCTACAGCATGTCATGAATTCAGACCCCAAGGACAAGTTTGTATGACCTCTGATCTCCATTTCCTTTTTTTGAAAGGTACCGTAGACAGGGGCACAAGAGAATACAAGAGGTACATTGGACAAGAATCACACTCTTACAGTGACCATTGGGCTTGGTAAAAAGGTTAAAAATGTGGTGACCCAAGTCCATCTAGATACCACAGAGAGTAATAAGTACAGAAGAGTGACTGTTGTCAGACATTTGTACATATTACATAGTAAAGAAAGTCCAACAGTCTTCTATCCCAGTCGCAACATGTTGCGTCTGCCAATTAAAAAAGAGATATGGAGGTCAATTCATTACATGACTGTATAATAATAGGTGCAATACCTTTGTTTTGCAATATTGAGGCTTGGGTCACGAAAAAGGGCGTTTTGACAATTAAATATAAAAAAATAACGAAAAATAAGGTATAAAGTTCATTGACCTATTAAAGGGTACCAAAGGTCAGATTATGATGCCCCCATATCTGAAAATGCTTTTCATGTCACAAAGAGCCAACTTTTAGACTTGGGTCCTGAAATAGTTGGGTTTTGAATAATAAATCTTATAAATTTATATCTATAAATAGGGCATACAGAGTTCATTGACCTCTTAAAGGTCACCAGAGGTCAGATATGAGATGTCCTTCATATGAAAATGCTTTTCATAGCATGAACACCTAACTTTTAGAATTGGGTCTTGAAAAAGTTGGGGTTTAAAGTGCCAATCTTATAAATTACTATAAAAACTGTATATATAGGTCATTGACCTCTGAAAGGTCACCGGAGGTCAAGTATGATTTTTTTTCACATCTGACCATTATTTCCATTGCCTGAAGACCTATGACATAGACTGAGGTCATAGGAAAGTGGTGTTTTCAAGAACAATTAGTATAAATAATGTATGTAAAGTTCATTGACCTCTCAAGGGTCACCAGAGGTCAAATATTAAATGTCTCCACATCTGAAAATGTTCTTCATGGCATGAAGAACCAACATGCGAAGTTTCATGCTTTAGTCACAAAGTGCACAATTGTACATGTATATCACTCAACAGCCCCACTAAGTGGCAATCTCTCAATGGGAAGATTTACATTAGGACAAAAATCATGATAATTCATGTATTTTATTTACTGCTTCCCACCACTAAAAAATTAAATGTCTGTCCATGTTATGAACGTTAAATCTTGAAGATAATCCTAGCTGTAATTTCTCGAATCCTGAGAAATTTATCAAACTTGTTGGTGGGCAATGTTCTTACCAAGATATTGGATGAAGAAAGACGGAAAACTTAACATATTACTTTATGCATCAACTCTTGTCCATGGTTCCCTCTAAATGTCACACTTTTGTAACCGTTAGTGTGGACAGACCGCGTTACGTACAGGACGAATAATGGACGAGAGCATTGACCAAGGCTAACAGAACAATGGTTTTTCGCGTTGATGATTGTTGATTATGGATTGATGTTGATTGTGGATTGATGTTGATGTTATTGTTCATTGTTGATTTGTTGAAGTTGATTTGTTGATGTTGATTGTTGATGTTGATTATTGATGTTGATTGTTGATAATGATTATTGATGTTGATTGTTGATGATAATTGTTGATGTTGATGCTGATTGTTGATTGTTGATTGGTTAATGTTGATTGTTGATGTTGAGTATTGATTGTTGATGTTGATGTTGATTGTTGCTTGTTGGTGTTGATTTTGATGTTGATTGTTAATTGTTGATGTTGATCGGTGATGTTGATTTTGATTGTTGATTGTTGATGTCGATGTTAATGTTGATTGTAGATGTGAATGTTGAGGGTTAAAAAATAACGTGTGTAGTAATTATACAGAGGATAGTTAAAAAGGGTCAGGTGAGGATCTGCACGCATATACTGCTGTAATGTAAACTCGTCAACTACATTCGTTACACAAACCCATTAAATAGCTCATATCTCTAAAAGTAAGGGTCGCATACCATTGGAGCAATACAAAATATTGCTGGCCATACCTTCTTTACACCAATGCGCATGTTTTTAGAAAAAAAACCCACCCAATTGGGCATTTTTGCCAGCCCAGTTTTTGAGTTTCATATGACGTCAACAAAATAAAAAATGAGCTTCCGTCAACAAGTTGTCATATAAACGTGTACAAAACACTAGTAAACTCTTAAAATACATTGGTCCATCAAACAGCCATTACATGTGGCTCAATAGTTGACATAAAACAGTCGTAAAACCAGACACTCGGGGAAACCCCTTTTGTATGCAATCATCCCAATTTGCTGTACACACGCCATACGATACAATGTACGTGGCATTCAATGAACGTTTCAAGGCGTAGGCGTTGTCAACTTCAAATTTCAAGGGGGCTGCAAGACATCTCCAAGTTTACCAATTGAAAGGAAACCTGGGGAAGTTTTAGACCTATTATGAAAGTGCCATTTAAAGCACAAAACTTGATTGTATCTCTCACGGTTGATTTTTTAGCAATTTTTTAAGGTTTAAAGGTCTTTTTATTGTAACTTCCGGTCCGATGACGTAATCAAACTTTTAGGTCTTGTCTACATAAAGGTCTGCAAAATTAAATGTTGCACATTTCCTTTCAGGTCACCATATATTATATTAATTTAATAATAATAATAATAATAATAACTGGATTTATAGAGCGCCAAATTGCCAAAGGATACAAGGCGCTGAAACAAAGAAAGAAGAACTACAGAAAGAACAACAGAAAAACAACAAGGGCGTACGACCAGCTATGGTGTGGGGAAAAAATGGGTTTTGAGAGCCTTCTTGAAGGTTGGCACAGTATCAGAGTTTCTGATAGGGATGGGTAGACTATTCCACAATCGGGGAGCAGCAATAGAGAAGGCCCGATCACCTGCGAGTTTATTTGTCCTCTGGACAACAAGAGATTTCCCATGAGAAGAGCGAAGAGAGTGAGACCCGGTTCGAATTGAGAGAAGAGAAGAGAGGTAATCAGGGGCAGAGGAGTTGAGAGATTTGTAAGTGTGGACCATAGTACGGAATTGAATGCGTTGTGCAACTGGAAGCCAGTGTAACTGGTTAAGAAGGGGAGATATATGTGTGTAAATGGGCATCTGGAAAATGAGCCTAGCACATCTGTTTTGAAGCCGTTGAAGACGAGAAAGATCTTTCTTTGAGATACCGTTAAGTAAGCAGCAGCCGTAGTCTAATTTCGAGAGAAATAAGGCGCGGACTGCATTATGGCAGGCATTAAAATTTTGAAGCGATTACCGCACATTTCGCCACAGACATTAACTGAAAATGCGTTTTGAACATTTTTTAATCTGCTGCTAGAGGGCGCTTGAACACTTCATGGCGTCACTGATCATTTATTTGGAAAGGTCAACCCACCTACAGACTAACATTGTTGAAAGGCACTTCCGGTTTTGACCAGAAGGAAGGGTCACATGATTTGACGAGCACAAGACACAATGAAGATCATGTGTCATCATGTCGAGTCACGCAAAATCTAAGTTCCGGTCTCTCACGGTGGATTTTATATTGAATTTTAAAGGTTAAATTTATTATTTTTTGAAGTGACGTCACGTGACCCATGATGACATCATAATGACGTAATCACAAAAAAACACATCTTCGCAGGGTTGTGCATTCATGTATTGACAATTGAAGTTTATATCACTTTTCATGTTGACAAACAGTTCTGGAAAAGAATGTGTCTTGGAGAAAAATAATAATAGTAATTTCATAGAACTAGAGGTTGTAGGAACAACCACACGGTGTAGGGCCATTGATTACCACATACTTTGCCACACCCGTCAACTCAAAATGTATGTTTACATGTAAATCCATGTTTTTGACTTAGTCAACATGCCTTTAGAGGGCGCTCTAACATTTTATGACATCACCTGTAATATTCTTTTAAAGTGTAGCCTAGGCAGACACTCACATTGTTGAAAGCAGGTTCATATCTTTTGCCAATTTCAAATTAGAGGGCACTTCCGTTTTCGAAAGGAAGGAAGGGCCACGTGATTTTGCACTTAATACCAAAAATGAAAATCCTGCAATATTGTATCGATTGCCATAAAAAAATTAATTCAAATCTGTGTTACGGTTGATTTTATAACGATTTTCAACTTTCTTTGTTTGTAATATGATAATTAATGACGTCACTGTGATGTCATTACCAGAAAGCTCAAGAGCTAAATGTATGTTAACTATGCTATCTATAGCCAAATCTTGATAATATCTCTCACGGTTGATTTTTTAGCATTTTTTTTTTTAAAGTTTAAAGGTCTTTTCAGTGTAACTTCCGGTCTGTTGTGCACAGGTTTTGTCTGCCTTAAGGTCATTATATAGCAAATTTTGCTAAACACATCAACTGAAAATGCGTTTTGGACATTTTTTTAACCTGCCGCTAGCGGGGTCTCGAACATCTCATGACGACACCGATTTTGTTGTTGTTGAAAGGTCAACCTAGCCAAAGACTAACATTGTTGAAAGCAGGTTCATATCTATTGCCAATTTCAAATTAGAGGGCACTTCCGTTTCGAATGGGAAGGAAGGGTCACGTGATTTGCACTTAATACCAAAAATGAAAACCCTGCAATATTGTATTGACTGCCATCAAAACCAAAATCGAATCTGTAGCAGTTGATTTTATATTGATTTTCAAAGATTAAATTTAGGAATCTTTATTTGCTTTTAATATGATACTCAATGACATCATCTTGTTGTCTTTACCAAAAAGCTCAAGAGTTACGTTAACTGTGCTATATACAGCCAAATCTTGATAATATCTCTCATGGTTGATTTTTTTGGGCAATTTTTTAAGGTTTAAAGGTCTTTTCATCTTATCTTCAGTCTGATGATTTTATTAATTTTTTTTTGTCTGCAGGTCTTGTCTGCATGAAAGTCATCATGTCCATTATTTTATGAAGCAGGTACCGTGAATTTCGCCACAGACATCAACTGAAAATGCGTTTTTTAATTTTTTTAACCTGCCCCTAGAGGGCAGTTGAACACTTTTTGGCATCACCAATCATTTTTTTTTGAAAGGTCAACCTAGCCATACACCAGAACCATTGAAAGCAAGTTCATATCTTTGTGCACTTTCAAAGTATAAGGCATTTTTGGTTTCAACCGGAAGGAAGGGTCACGTGATTTGCACGCACGAGATGAAATGAAGATCAGGTAATATTATATCGATTCCCGCAAAATTCAAGTGACATTGTGTTACCCATGATGACGTCATAATGACATAATTATTAAAAAGCACATTTTCAGTTGTTTGTGCATTGATGTATTGACATCTGAAGTTCATATATGTTTTCATGTTGACAAACAGATCTGGAAAAGAATTTGTCTTGAAGAACAATAATAATAGTAAAATTCTTACAATAACAAAAGGTTATTGGGCTCATGGGTGTTGGGCTCATGGACCAACACCTAAATATTACTGAATTTGGTAATATACAAATTAACTTTGAGAGACTGGAACTTGAATTTTACGGGAATTGATTTGATAATACATGATCTTCAATTTATCTCGTGCGTGTCAAATTACATGACCCTTCCTTTCAACAATGTTAGTCTCTCCCCTGGTTGACCTTTCCAAAAATATTACCGGTGAAGTCATGAAATGTTCGAGCGCCCTCTGGCTGAAAGTTAAAAAGTGTCAAAAACGCATTTTCAGTTTATGAGTGTGGCAAAATTTGTGATAATCACTTCAAAATTAATATATATGATGACCTTAAAGGGAATGAACAACATTTGCTTCTGCTGCAATTTTCAGCAATAAACAGATTTGGAGATTAGTATGTTATAGCAATATTGTTAAACTGAGTAAACGTGTGTATAGCAAATGGGGATATAATTGCATACAAAGGGAATCCCCCACCTAGGATTTCTATGGTAAGGGCGTATGTTCGTCCGTGCTTACCATGGACCCCTTGTGGGGTACCCGTCCTTTGTTTGAGGTACCTCGCAAATAAAATCTTTAGAAAAAAGGGTACCCGCAACGAAATCTTTAGAAATAGGGACAATCTGACAACAATGGAGGTACCCCGGAAGTCCATCTGGCTGGGATGTCCGTCCGTCCGGGCAGCTTAGTTTCCTGATGATAACTTGAGTTAGAAATGTTGTTTGGGATTGTTACATGTACTTCGGTAGGGTGTTGCCTTTAGAAGTAGGCAGGTTGGGCTTGGTTTTGAGGTAAAAAGGTCAAAGGTCAAGGTCACCGTGGTGAGTTAAAGGTAAATGGTTTCCGGATGATAACTTGGGTTAGAAATGAAATATTGGAGTCGGCAAGTTGAATCCTGCAAAATCCTCCCATTGGCCTCATGGAAAAAATAGTATCCATCCTCAGTCCTGCAAATTCCTTAATTATTTCTTGAATATGGTCCATGGAGGGGTGACCGCTGCCTGAATCCTGCAAAATCCTGCAGCAGTGGCTGTCAATATGTTGAGGCTTGGCCAGTGACATCCTGGAGCAGTACAGAGGATTTCAAGCATAATCCAGGCCTATACACGTATTTATGCATTGCTGAGCAAAAACAACACAAGGTCCGGACCAAGACTTTGACAAAGTGCATCCTACTAAATCAGTAACGCACTTTTGCCATGTAACTTCAATCCTCCAAATTCCTCCACTTTGGCAAAGAGGATTTTGAAGGATTCAGGGTGTTTTAGGGTTAATGAACAGAGTAGGGATCCGGATACTGAAATGACAACCACCAAGTTGGATACAAACAGAGGAATCCCTGCATTTGATGCATGTACCCCATCGAACCTCAACAAGTGTATAGTTGTCCAATGAAACTGGGCGTGATGCATAACGTGATCTCCCAGTTTACAAGAGCAAGATTGTTGATGGAACACCACTTCCTGTCCAAGGAAGCCTGAGCTGTTGCTGGCGAATGCAAAAGGCATCTACTGAGAAGTCATTTATACCATATAAAAATAATTACTGATTTGTTTTGCTTTTAAAAGGTACATGTAAGTTAAGGTAAGGCTAAAGAACACTAGTGTGTAAGATTCAAGAACAGTTGAGGTTTAAGGAACAGTAACATACAGTAGAGAAACAATAACAAGATGGCCGCCCCATGAACAAGAGCGGGGTAAAGCAACAACAGTTGTTAAACATTTACACAGTACAATTTTAGTCAGTTTGACAAGTTAAGTCCAAGGTAATCAAATGAGTAACTGTACCATTCTAACATGTGCATGCATTATAGGAGCAAGTGGAATCCACATACAGCAATCCTTCTTTTGGTACCGTAAAACAACTGAAGTACTCATTGGATTGCATTGTGCAGACAAACAGCATTCAGGTAAGACACTTTGTCCCCCTTTTTTTAGTCTTCCCTGTTACCCCTTTAGTGATCGTGTTTTATGTTCACCGGTTATTTATTACCCACTTAAAAGTTGATTGGTAAGTTAAACCCTAGAGCAGAATGGTTTAGAGAATTTTTATCTCAGGTTAACATCTTTCAGTTCTGCTCCCACAACTTTTTTTTCGGGGGGGGGGGGGGGGGGATTAGGCCAAAAAAAAAAATAGTTCTGCTTCCGATTACATGCCTTTCAAAAATAGGGTCGGTCGGTCGGAAATTTTTTTTTTTTGGCCAATTTTTTTTATGCAGATTGAATGGGGTATTCAATTATATGCGAAGTTTTAGCCTGAACTATTTCCATTGCACTATAAAAGCTATACACAAAATGGCCACAAAAAGTGAATAAAACCTACCTTAATTATTGTCAATATATTTACGTTTGATAATTCGTAAAAAAATTGTGGGAAATTCAGGTCGTTCGCACCATAGGCACAACGCTAGTCAAGAAGGGGAGCTGGCCAAAACTCCGAAGTGTGTGATGCACTGTACATGTACATTTGTACATGTGTGGCCCGCGGCCAATGGGTCGAACATTTCAGGAAACTGCATTGTATCACTCCAAATACGAGTAGTGCGATCTCAAAATGAACTCTTGAACACGGAAAATACATACACAGACAAGCTAGATCAAATCTGTGATTTAACTTGCAAAAATGTTCTTTCTCCATCGGTGTTTTCTTGGCATTTTTACGATGCCTTTCTCAGCATTTTTACGATGTCGAGTCCAACCAGTTGACAGAGCACGTGCCTGCGCTTGCATAGCCAGGCTTGTGCTAACGATAGCATAGCCGTGCACAGACTAGTTACCGCATTTTCATAATTGGCCCCTGCGCGGCGCGGCGGGAACCAGTCGTCGCCGCATTGCGCTTATTACGCACGTGATTACAGACATCGAATTGCGAAGTAGTTGAATCGCGCAGCGAATTTGTAAAAATAACGGAGGTTTCTTTTGAAAAAATAGCGAATGTAAGTAAGAAAACAATAAATACAAGCATTTTTTTATGCAAAAGGGTTGTTGAGGGGTATTTTGTGAAGACAGACAAGACATAAGGTTTTTATTTTTATTTATTCAATCATTTGTTTTTTTTTTTTTTTGGAATTGCTGATAAAATTTTTAGGGTCGCAGCCTAAAAATAGGGTCGGTCGGGTAACCGGAAGCAGAACTATTCTTTTTTTGGCCTTAGGTGAACAAAGTAATTACCATCAGAGTTTCCCCTTTTCAATACAGGGTGAGTAAAAAAAAACGGAACCCAAACCCCCAAAAATATATTTCACATTTAAAAAAATATGTAGCATCAAACATAATAATGACAGAAAGCCAATTTCATAAGCTACTTTTAGATGAAAAAAAATTACTTAAATTGCTCAATCCGTAACAAGAATATCGCCATTTAAACGCACTGGCCCTAAAACCTCTTTCGTCCAAAAGGGTGATTTCCTCTCAGATGCCGCCTTCCCCCCCCCCCCCCCCCTCCAAAAAAAATTTGCGGGAGCAGAACTGAAAGATGCTATTCTGAGATGATAGTTTACAAAACTATTCTGCTCTAGGGTTTAAAGGGAATATACATCATTTGCTTTTGCTGTAATTTTCAGAAATGGATGGAATTGGGGGGTTGGAAATATAAAGCAAATATAGTTACACTGACTTTTTGGAGGTTTTGGGTTCGAAAATGCTATAAAAACCAAGAAAAACGATCATTTTCCTGTAGTCTGGTCCCCTGACTCCATATAAGAAGAAACAGAGCAGTTTACATACATTGGGGAATTGTAAGGTCAGGGAACCAGTCTAGCTGGCTCGTACCCGTTCATAGGTTTGTAATCGATTGCAAACAAGTGCAATGGTCAATTGGGGCCAGTATTTGAAAAAAAGCCAGTTGTTTCCAACGCTGATCGGCCGATCAGCGTTGGAAATTGATACAAAAATACCACTTTTCTTGAAAATGACAGTATACCAGGTGCCATAATTTTACAGGATGCTTTAGACTGTCATTTACCAACATCCTATTAAGGTATTTCGCAAAAACTTGGTAGTTTTATTTTTCGATGTTTGCAAATGTTGTATATTCCCTTTAACATACCAATCAAGTTTTTGAATCTAATAAAAAAAAACTCCAAACCTAAAACCTGATTATTTCTAATTGAACAAAACTGTAATGAAGAATTCTTGGCATCCTGATGAGAAATAATGAACAAAAGCTAGCAGTTGACATGAAAGACGTATCATAGCCTGCACTCTTTGCATGTGAAATGTTTCTGGCTATGTCATTAGAAGGCACTGTCATTGCTTATGTTTCTTACAAGATCAAATAAGTTCGCAAACAATGCTCTATAATTTCCATGGGTTCAATTTTTTTTCGTGTTTAACGTGGCTGTTATTATTAAGCAATTAATTAATAATCCTTCCATATAGGTGAAGTTCAGAACTAAAGGGGTTACACGGGGGACTAAAATCTGATGGATTTACCTCTATTACATGTACATCCCGGTATAGAGGGACATATAAAGTTAGAACAAAGTGTAAAGTACTATATAGTTCCTTAGATAAAGACGTGGTGCACCACCGGGGGAGGGGGGGGGGGGAGGGGGGGGAGCTTGAGCATCCCCCCCCCTTCGAGGTTGTCAATTTTTATTTTATTTTTTTTTTTTTTGCTTTTCCGCTTCAAAGCGGAAAAAGCATTGTTTTTGTTCTGAATTTTTTTTCTTATCTTTTCTTTTTTTCCCTTCTTATTTCACCCCAAATCCCATAGACTTTTTTTAACCGCTGCATTTGTACCCTAAACAAACTGGTATTCTAATGAAACCTAACATACATGTATGTGAAGACCCCATAGTGAGTTTGTGTCCCGAAGAGTGACGAATGATTACGTCAACGTGGGTCACGTGACGTTTTCTTAAATGTGTGAACTTTGAAGACCCTACATCTAAAGAACTGTAAGTCTGATTTGGTTGAAACTCGGTATGTACATGTAGGTAGACCGGGATGTGTTATAGGTAAAAATTTAAAGGACGTCATCATGACGTCGATTTTTGAAGTTTTGGACCTTTAAGCCATATCTCACAAACGCAATATGCTAAATTCAAATTTCTTTTTGTATTATGTTTGTTAGATAACAGGTATATTCACAAAATTGTGAAAATTGTGTGACGTCATTATGACGTCATTAAAATGCGATTTTTTTTTTTTTAAACATAAGGGAATGTCCAATCGTCATGAAACTTGGTGGGTGGGTAGATAATAGTACAAGTACACAAAGTCTGAAATGACGTCTCGATGACGTCGGTAGATTTTTTGAGATTTTTTTCAAATTTTTAAACGTTTAACACTTTTGTTCATCTGATTGGCTTCAAACATGCTAAATTAAAAATTCTTTTTGTGTTCGGTTTGTTATGTAAAAGGTACCAGCATAATTTTGTTTGAAAAATGTGTGACGTCACGATGACGTCATCAAAAGTGCGATTTTTGAAAACACTTATAAGGGCAAGTCCGGTTGTCTTGAAACTTAGTGGGTAGGTAGAAAGTGTTAATAGTATGCTAAATCTGAAGTGACGTCATGATGACATCATCACCTATTTTTTTAAATTAAGTTATCAACTTTTTTACATTTTGTTCTAAAACAAATATATGACAAAGTATTTTTTAAAAGTATTTCTTCACACGTATTATTTTAAGAATGCAGAAAAGCCTGTGTCCTGTTCATCGAACAGGCATAGCTCTAGTTTTTCTTTTTTTTCTTTTTTTTGTTCCCACCCCCAAATCCCATAGACTTTGTACATGTATTTTAGCTGCGGCATTTTGGACCCTAAACAAACTCGTATTCTAAACTTGTATAAGGTTCGTAAGGTCATACTTATATGTATAAACAAATTATAAGTGGATAACGTCACGATGACGTCATAAAAATGCAATTTCTTAAATCACATACAAGGCTCAGTCCGATAATCTTGAAACTTGGTGGGTAGGTAGAAATAATTATTAGTATTGAAAACCTGAAGTGTCGTCATGATGACGTGATAAGCTGATGTTGTATTAATTTAAGCACTTATTACATGTTCTTCTAATGCAAAAATAGACAAAGCACATTTTTAAAAGTAATTTTTTACACGTATCTGTTAAAAAGGCGGAAAAGCCTATGTCCTGTTCATTTTATTTTTTTTTGTCCCACGATTTTACCTTGGTGATATGTATGTGGCCTATTTTCGAGTACTATGATAGGGGTGTAAGTGGCGCCACCAATGTCAAAATAGTCCGCCCCCCAAATAAAACTCCAATTTTTTTCTGCAGCCAAAAGTTTTGGGCAACATTTTTTGACGAAAAATTTGAGCCCCCCCAAAAAAAACCACCCAAATCCTGGGTGCACCACTGAGATAAAGGCCTCAGATACACCTTTGATGTGACATCATTTTAAATCTCAGAGGTTTTCTAAAATTGAATATGTTTAAAATCTGGTCTAAAGATGTGTCAGGTGACACATTTTTGGAAATCTCTGTTAATCCCCCCCCCCCCCCCCCCCCCCCCCCCCCCCCCCCCCCCCCCCCGTTCTAATTGGTACTTGATTGCAATTGGGGAACCCATTAGTGACAAACTTCTGACATGCTGTCAATTGGAGGGGGAAAAAAAAAAAAAGATCATTTCCAAAGACATGTCTAGTGACACATTGTTTGACATTGCTGTGAATCCGCCCCCTCTCTTCTACTTCAGAAGAAATAAGGCTTTAAACAAATGCACCTTTAATAGTGACGGTACACAGGATGACGTCATCGTGACAAAAATCATCGGGGACCGTCATCTGCTGGTGGTCTAAGTGTCTGCCAAGTCTAAAGTCAGTCTTTATCCCCAGGTGTTTATATGACTTGCAGTTATTTTTCAATCACACACTTTTTAACTTCAGAGATGTGCAGTGGGAATCATCCTACATATCGATCTCATGCTGTTACAGTTT